TTTCCTGTCATGTGACGTGAACTCAGAAATTTAGCATTTCCTGACTGTACCAGTTGCAGTTTCGATTGTTTTACCGACGTTGTGCCTTCATAGGTAGCCTCTAGTGCTTCCCATGCGCCTTTAGCTGAATCATGGCCTGCAACAATAGGAAATTGACTTTCATGAATTAGCCCATAAATAATATCTAGTGCCTTATCGTTGTGTCCAGCACTTGTTTCCTCAGCGTGGGTCCATTCATTTTCAGGTTTCGTCACTCGAGTTTCATCCTCACTGGTACTGGCTTTGGTTGGATGATCCCAGCCTGTTACAACGATACATCATACTGCTTCACCTTGTGCTTTGAGATGAGTACGCGTGCGCACCTTCCAATATGCATAGTTGTCACCGACTAGCTGGGGAAGAGCTTTAGTGTGCTCTATTCTGTAACACTCAATAACCCGTGAGATCGAACAATTTAACAAAATCAGAAATAATAATAATAGCCGCTGAAGAATTGAGATCAAGGGGCACGGAGTAGCCAGATCGACAGACTAATAACTTAAGTCTGGTGGCTCTGATACCAATTGAAAAAGCCCGTGTATCTTGAAATCAATTTAACACTAAGGATTCTACTTGATTTTATGTTACGAGACAATTTCGTTGTTTAATTAAATCAATTTAATCAACGTATAAATAACGAAATTAAAAGCAATAAATAAAGTAAAGACACAGTAGAATTGTTACGCAGTTCGGAGCTCCTTCTCCTACGTCTGCGGGGGAACCCACGTCTGTCCAATCCACTATAGATGTTCACCATGGAGTATTACAAGAGGTAACTACAAATGGCTCACAGCCTTTACCACTACAACTCTTTTTAAACACCTAATCAGGACTGAACCGTGCATGCCATAGCCATCTTTGATGTAGCACTTCAGCTGTCACAGGTACTGATTTGAAGTACAGAATTAAATCACAAATATAACATAATCAATATTAAAGCAGTAATATAGGAAGCTTGCATATGTAATCAGAATTTCAGAATTGGCAACTTCCTCTTTCGTTTTCCCTTCTTTATATACTGTATGTACGTAATTTCCATTTCACCAAGCCTTGATTGTAGCTTTCATATGTGGCTTGAATTCTTCTCAACCACACATTCTTTAATTTGAGATCTGCAGACTTGCTCTTTGTCCAACTCATTAGAATGAAATCTCCACCACACATTTTAGCTTGGTCCAATAACACTAATTACGACTCATACTAATTCGCATTACAAATTAATAAAATAAACTAATAAATTAGTCAATCTAATGTGTACTGTTTTGTACACTTACAAAATTAATAATTGCAAGATCGAAGCATTATATTTTTAATTGCAAAATGGCAGCATTATCATTGACTTTTTTTTTTTTTTTTGTGGCAGCATTATCATTGACTTTTAGTACTTCATATTAAAATTCATGTAGCTTTCTGGAACTTCTAACACTAATTAAGAGTAATATGAAATTAAAAATATTAGTGGAAAATAATGACAACATGAGACGGAATTGTTTAATATTAAGTGAGAATCTTTTGGCTCAAATCTATCTTCTTTTTTCCTCTCTGTTTTATGTTTATCGAAGTCAGCTCCAGCTAGATCCAAAATAGGAACAGCTAATCAGGTAAATGTTTCAAAAATTCGCTTTGAGAAAAATTAAGTAGGGATTGTAGGTCAAGTTCATAAATACAAGTGAATTAGGGTGAGCATTGAAATAAGAAAAATAATTTTTTAAAAATAATTAGTTTCAAAAATATTTACATTTGTTAGTGTCTGATTCAACGTTAGAAATTAGTCATATTTTATTCCGTTAAAAGAAAATATTATATTTGTTCTGTTTGACTTATGTTTTAAAAGCATGAGCAACATCTAGGTTTAAATAGATGTACAAATTAGTGTAGAATTGTAGATCCCTCAAAATATACACAAAATGAGAAATAGTCCTTAAAATTGAGGAGGTCATGTAAAGCCTTTTGTTATTATATTGCTTAGTATGCTATTATAAAAAGATAGAGGTGGTAGAATTCAAGCTTGTATCTTCAATCTACATTGGATCAGAGCTAAATTTTCATTACTTACATTTCAATTCGTTCAATTTTACTTGTGTTTTCAATACATGCAATTCCATTGTGCCTTTACAAATCTAATCATGAATAGATAGATTTTCTCTGAGATTTGGATTAAGCTTGCTCTTATTAAGTTATTATAGATTCTATGATTTCAATTGTATAAAAGGAGTATGTATTGAATTAGATGCTCCTAGATAAATTTATCTTTTTTTTTTCATCTCTCTGTTTTGTGTGTATCGAAGCCAGCTCCGATCTATGCTTGGAAATAGGAAAATTAATTCTTAGAAAATAATTTTTTTCTTTTGAAAATTATTTTCATTTGTTAGTGCTTGGCTGAACGTTAGAAATCAAATATGTTCTATACTTTCTTAAACATTTTCAGTATAAAGAATCGCCTCCACCACTGAGGTTTAAACCTATAAACACCCATTTAGAATGATAACCGGGATGTCACCATACTACATGATAGTTGACAATTATTTTTTATTTAGCTAAAAATAAAAATATTATTTTTTTTTCTATTTGATTCATTTTTTTTTTTGAAAACATGAGCATAACTCTATTACAAAGCTATTTCTTATAAAATATAAATTATTTTAATAATAATAATAATTATTATTATTTATATTAAAATATTATATTAAAGTAAACTTTATAATAGTCATAAAGATTAATAATAATTATAATAAATATGTAAATAAATAATTTTAACTTATAATTTATTTTAACAAAAATAAATATATAAATTAATGGCATGTAGTGACCTCTCCCATATGGGAGGTCATAAGATCGAGCCTCATAGGAGGTATTGTTGACTCTTTGTGCTTCAATAGATTGAGAAAGTATATTTGAATAGATACTACAATGTAATACAGTCAGTGGCATTAAATATATATATATATATATATATATATATATATATATATATATATATATATATATATAAATTGATAAATATAATAGCTTTTAAGTAAAAAAAAAAAAAAAAAAATTGAAACCAAACACTTTGTTCTCAGATGGCATGTAGTGACTTTTCCCATGTGGGAGGTTATGAAATCGAGCATGAGATGTTGTTGACTTTGCGTGTTGTTTGAACAGAAATATTACAATATAATTGAGTCAGCAGTATTGAAAATAAAATTTACTCTTTTTTTTTTTTTTGGTGGTGTGCACCAAGTCGGGTCAACAAATTAATTTTTTGGCTGGGTCAGCCAGTAGCATTGAAAAGAAAATTTACTCTTTTTCTTTTTCTTTTTTTTTTTCTTTTCCTGTGTGTAATGTGCACCAAGTCGGGTCAACAAATTATTATTTTGGCTTGACCTGGCCCAGCCATTGATAAATCAACAATTATATCGTGGACCATGGTCTAAAAACGGCGCCGTTTCTTTAAGTAAAGAAACGGCTGTCGTTACAGTTTAACGGAATTCATATTTTTAATGTATTAATTACAAAATGAAACTACAATGTATCTAAAATGAAACTACTTCACATATTGTTTTTATATTATCAAATAAAACTGTAATTGAATTGAAATGAAATTGTAGTTGTGTTGAAATGAAATTTCGGGCAGTGTACATAAAATGAAACTGAATAACAGTTTCACATATTTGAGTGTATATTGTCCAGTGAAACTGTAGTTATATTGAAAATGATACTGTAGTTGTGTTGTAATGAAACTATAGTGTATATAAAATGAAACTGAATAACTGTTTCACATATTTGAGTGTATAATGTCAAATGAAATTGTAGCTATATCGAAATGAAAATGTAGTTGGGTTGAAATGAAACTGCAGTGTATATAAAATGAAGCTGAATAACAGTTTCACATATTTGAATGTATATCGTCCAATGAAACTGTAGTTATATCGAAATGATAATGTAGTTGTGTTATAATGAAACTATAGTGTATATAAAATGAAAATAAATTAAATAACAGTTTCACATATTTGAGTGTATAATGTCGAATGAAACTATAGTTCATGAATCTACAGTGTATATAAGATGGAACTTAATATGTTATACAAACAGGGTTAATATTTGCGAAAAGGTGCGGAACGGGTGCCGTTTCTTTTCATTAAAAGAAATGACACCGTTTTGATACATGTACCACAATGCATTGTGGACCGCTGTACACGGTAAAATTTGTCTTGATAAATGCAATAACTCTAGACTAAAGAAATTGAAGAAAAATATTCTTTTTGATTGTGGATCGGGTTAACGTTTTTATAGTTTGGTTTAGCTTTGCACAATCCATATTTTAATTGGTCATTAACAATAGGGAAAATTGTAAAAAATGCCTCTCTATAATATGTCAATTATCAATGTCACCCCTGAATTATGAGTGGTGTAAATGTTACCCCTCAATTATCAAAACGGTGCACATATAACCCATCCCGTAACGGACCTGTGGTTCCCCACCACTGTCCATCACTGGTAATTCGAATCAAGGGAGGGAAAATACAACTAAATTACATATTTACTTCGACTTAACGGTGTCGTACACTAAGGGGGAACCACATGTCCGTTACGGGAGGGGCTATATGTGCACCGTTATGATAATTGATGGGCAACATTTACACCACTAATAATTCAGGGGTGACATTGATAATTGACATATTATAGAGGGACATTTTTTACAATTTTTCCTTAAGAATATATAAACTAAAGAAATTTAAAAAAAAATGTAAATGCCTTTCTCTAAAAAAAAATTGGTTTAACTATGAAGCTGACAACCAAACGGCCAGCCAAATTTCTTCACAAAAACACACATTACAACATAACTAATTATATGTTTCTCAACATTGTTTACAACTGGAAATGCTGTACCTAAAAACATACAGTTCAGATGATACACTAAAAACACACTCTGATACTGATATTCTTGATCTTCATATCATACCAACAAAAGCCGGAATTCAGTGATTTGAAGTTTGAGGAAGCCGGAAAGAGCCCCCAGAATAAAGCATTTGGTAAACTGGCCTTATTCTCACGGTGAGAAGTATACTAAGCAGGGTGCCCAAAGAGCAAAGTCCAGCCAGAACCAAGAATGTGACCCTGAAGCAATTAGGGCCGAGGCAAGAAGCAGTGTGCTGCTTTGCTGCCTCATTATCATACAGATATCCAGCAAGAAGACCTGAGAAGAGATACGCCCCGAGAGGATTCCCCAGCGACATGAAGTTGAAGATCATCCCGAAATGCTTCAAACCGAAAAGTTCAGAGGCGGTTGGGACCATTGTAGAGAATTGAACACCATAGCAGATTCCGAGTAGCGAAGTAGCAGCATATAGAGTGCCATTGAGAGCAGAGGCAAATAGAAGGTATGCGATTATCATCACAACTTGAGTGCATGTCATCCAAATTGTTCTAGGAAGTGCTTTTAGCCTGCAAGAAAGATTTGTTACAAACATTATATTATCAGATCAGTAGGCATATAGCCTGCAGTTATGTGGAGAACTTAGATGATTTCTTATCCTTTATTTATATATATATATATATATATATATATATATATATATATATATATATATAAAAGAGCCCCAGGTTTCCTATAATGATTGGTGTTGGGCGGATGCCAGTAAGGGTTAAGTCCAACACCATGTGACTAGGGGATCGGAGGTCCCAAGTTTCCTATATTGATTGGTGTTGGGCGGAGGCCAGTAAGGTTTAAGTCCAACACCATGTGACTAGGGAGTTGTTCGACAAACACAGATAAAGGATCAAATTCAACACCTTGGCTCTACAAAATGTGTGGTGGTATAAGAAAATAATGTTGCTAACAAGTGGTATTAGCGCCATGTCAAGGTTCGAGTTCCAGGAAGAGTGGTTAAGACTCGTAGGTGTGGGCGGGGGAATTGTTGGGCGGAGGTCGGTAAGGGAAGTATAGGAGTAGCACCACGTGACTAGGGGACTGTAAGGTCGAAGCCAAGGTTAAAGTCCAGCACCGTGGCTCTCGAAAATGTGTGGTGATTGACTGTATAAGAAAATAAAGTTGCTAATAAGTGATATCAAAATCAGGTCACAGGTTTGAATCGCAGTGAAAATAGTTAAGATTGGCTGGTGTTGGGAGATTGTTGGGTGTAAATTGGTAAGGGCCAATATTATTACGGGGTTGTTGGACGGAGATGAATGATAAGTCCAACGTCCTGCTCTCGAAAATGTGCGGGAACGTAAGGAAATAAATTTGTTACAAAGGATTAGAGGAAAAAGTGCAACAAACCTGACAAAATATTCAGAAACAACACCTCCCCCAAGACGGCCCACAAAATTGCAAAAGCTGAAGAGTGATAACAAAATCTTTGTGTTATGCAAACCTTGTGCTATCCCAATCTGTGCTAGGTTATTCAGAACAGTAACCCCGGAACCCACTCCAACAAAATAAACAAGGAACAAAAGCCAGAAATCAGCCTTCACCATTGCCTCACTGATTTTAAAGTCTTCACCTCTTCTAGGCCTCTTCTTTTTCTTCACAGCACCTTCTCCCTCAGCAAGAAGCATATCCACCTCAGACATACTCTCACTTTCATGAAAGCTTCCAAGGTTGTCTCCTGCTGATGTTGCTCCCAACAGCGGTTCCGTTTTCTCAGCAACAACATCATTACCTTGATTTGGTTCACTCACACGTGCCTCGACCACGAATGATTTGCTAAGAATTGAGGGATACAATGTCATCTTTACAGGAATAGCAAGCGGAGCCATTAGAAGGAGAACCATGATGATAAGGAAGGTATAAGAGACAGGGGCACTCAGACAAAAAACATTGTCCACAAATGTTGTTGTTAGAACATAAATTCCCAGGACAACACTAGTCACTTGAACAAACAAGAAGTTATAAAGCTCTGAAGGATCATCACCCAAGGCCGGAGTGCAAGGCCTAACAAAGTACATCGTAACGAAACATATAATAGGAATTCCAAGAGCAAGGAATATTAAGAGCTTAGAAGAAGAATTGTGGAGCGATACGCTATAGATTTCTGTAAAAACCGCAGCACTTAGTCCCCCATAGCCTTTAAGAATGCCCGCAACAGTTCCCCGGCTGAGAGGGAAGTTTCTCATGTTTGTGACAAGCAAAGCTGTGCTGAACCAAGCACTGCTGTTTGTGGCAACACAAAGTGCAATCCATAACTGCAAACCCATCATGATTTTACCCAAACAAAGTCAAATTCATAGAGTTCATTGGGAAATACAAAATGAAAAACAAATGAACACTGCTGGAAATTATTGAATTTCCAACCACCTGAAAGTGATCTTAAATCAAGTCGAAAGCCTGTTCTGTTCTGATCACTTTTGGTATCCGGAAAAACCTTTATTGCTATTTCCGACCACTTTTTGCTTTCGACTTGATTTAAAATCACTTTCAGGTGGTCGGAAATTCCATTAGTGGAAGAAGTCGGAAGAAGAAGAAAAAGAAAAAAGTTTTTACCAGCCAATAGGGGAAGTTGAGAGCAGGGCGGCTAAGGGAAAGCCAGAGAACTCCATAGCCAAAGAAACAAGCAAAACCACCGATCAAGAGAAGAAGCCAAGGAGGTAATTTGTTGCAGAAAATGCCAGGGAGGAGACCCACATTCTCACCAATATCATTGGCCACCCCAAGCATGGTTAGCTGCTTCTGGTTGAATCCCAGAACTGATTTTAGGGAATGGGAATAGTGTGGGAAGTTGTAAGAATTCCCAGCAGCTACTTGCATCCAAACTGAAGCCCCAAGCCCCACCCATGGTGGCCTAGTTCCTCCTTTCAGATTCACCATTCTTCACCCTTTCAAGAATGCCTGACTATAAAGCATGTAGGAATGAAGAGAATGGCGCTTTAGTTTCGGTTTTATATTTGAACTTTTGGAGCCTTGCAGACCATACTCGTTTGCAGTACATGTTTTTCGTGTGCTTTTCTTGGCTTTCCAGCATTCAAAGATTTGTACTTCAGAGAGGGTGATTTTAAATTTTAACTTTTAAGTCAGGTTTGATTCGACAATTTTATACTCGTTATTAAATTTTATTTTATTTTAATTATTATGTTTAATTTTTGGATTTACAGGAAGGAGAATACCCACAGAAGCTTAACACTAATGATTGATCTGCCACTCATCAAGGAGGCTTAACTCATTTCTACAGGCGTGAGCAAGGTTGTCGACCGAGTTATTTACTGCTTGACAGCTTCTACGTTACCACTTCCTTAGCATCAGCTTATTATGTTTATTTGTTTTTTTTTTTTTTAATTTTATTATTAAATTCAAATCTTTTAGTAATTCTAAAAATGATCCATTTTCTCCTTCAATGTTTTTAGACGGTAGAATCAGGAATGGAAAAGAAAGAACAGAAAATAAATAAATAAAAGTCCTCTTCTATGCATTTACATGTGAAATTTTAACACCCAGTGTTCACACATTTTGTGCGTATTATATATGATATATCTCTATATTTTTATTTATAATTTATGGTTTAAGTTCCAGTGTGAGTGAATGCTTCCTGTGCGGTTATGCGATTTATAATTTGTGTTGCATGCTCTGCAGTTCAGCTCATATTCTCACTAGTAGATAACAAGCCATAAGAAATCAAATAGTATTATTTTGAGCTGAACGGCAAAGCAGGTAGCAAGGGACTTAGATTTACTTCTTTATTATTATTATTATTATTATTATTATTATTATTATTATTATTATTTTTAAAAAATCAAACGGTATTGAGTTCGGTTTGGTTGAATTGTTCGGTATACAAGAATCGATTACTGTTCGATTGTTTGGTATATTACCGAACCAAACTAGTTCGGTTCGGTTCGGGAAAATCAAACCGAATTGCCCACCTCTAAAGTTAATTACTGAAATAGTCCCCTAACTATAGCGAAATTACCAATTTGGTTCCAAGTTAACAGATGTCTAACAACAAAACAAACGGAGGACCAAATTGGTTAAGATTTTTAAAGTTGAGGGACTTAATTGGTCAAAAAAATAGTCAAGGACCAAATTGGTAATTTTGCTATAGTCAATGGACCATTTTGGTAATTAACTCATAAGGAAATGTCCATCAGCTAGAGAAATTTAGAACATCCCCATGTAGATTGGTGAGTGTTATGAGCAAGAGAATGAGAATAAACTCACAATAACCATGAAGAAGTTTGGAGACTTCCGAATGGTCATCAGAGAGTCCATAGCCCAGATGGAGACTCACTTTATGAAGCTTCTCAGTCAGATTGCAGTTCTAGGAAAGGAGTTATCCCAGAAGGAGATCAACCTAAAGATCCTTTGCATATTGCCAAAGTCTTGGGAGATGAAGGTGATTGCAATGAGGGATCATAGAAACCTCAATGCTATCTAGACATCTCAAATCTTTATCAACTTGAAGGCTTATGAGTTTGAGAGGGACCGAGACGTGAGGATGATGAACCAAAGAGTACCGCATTGACTGTTGATCAACAACCCTCTACATCATTCAGGTCAAACTCTATCCCTCTTAGTTCTTAACTAACGAACAACTTGCTATGTTTGTCAGGAAATTTAAAAGGCTCATGAGGGAGAACAACATACAAGGAAGTCCATCCACACCATCTTCCTCAAACCGAAGACACTCCGAGAGGTCAAACACCTCGAAGAGTACAGGCTCCGAAGAGTTGAAAGTCTTATACTACAACTGCCGGAAGCTGGGACATTACAAATTCGATTACCCACATCCAATCATGAGCAAAATGCAAGAGTAGTCGAGAAGTAACTAGAATGACTCAAGGAACACACATGGAGAGTCGAGGGGTAAAGGTTCACAAAACCATTCGAAAAGTCACTCAAAAGGTGACACACGGAGGAAAGCCTTGGTAACCGAAGAGTAAACCGAGATTATCTGGGTAGTTACCTCTTGTATGGGTGACTATGGCGCGCAAAAAGTGCAGATTCGGCAACTTCCAAAATCTCGAGGAAAATTCTTATTTTGCCCTTAGCTTGACTCTCGCTATGAAAGGACGCCTTCCTCAACCCTAGACCACCTATGCTCAGTTTTGGAGACAAGAAAGAAGAGAATTGAGAGCTACAAATTGTCTTGGGAAGCAAGGAGCAAGCTAAGGAGATTTGAGAGAATTGATTGGTTTAATCCTTATACTCTTTTAGATTATTTGTAAACTCTTAATTATTGTTATGTATTGTATCTTAGCCATGTGTGGCTAAGTTTTCTTAGAGATTCTTGGGTAAAAGTATTTATTAACCTATGTGCCTAGTTCTTTAATGCTTTAATATATTATTATTTGAGTTTTAACTTGTGTTGCAATTGTGTTTTATATTGTTGTTGCTAGTAGTTTAAGGCTCAAATTACTTGCTTCATAGCTGTGTTTGTGTCACAACGGGAATTGTGCATAATTTAGAGCACACACAATTGTACTTAACTGGAGAGGGAAAATTTGTTATGGAATTTAACTCTTGATTGTTGCAAATTGGGAAATGGTAGTAATTAGGGATTTAATATGAATGCTTGTTCTTTCATTGTTGAGTGTTTATATCACGAGAGTGAATATTCACTAGGGTTAGAGATTACGGGAGTAGCTCTATACCACCTTGCATTCTCACACTTGTTAAACCCATATTTTAATATTGTTCTTAGGATTGACACTAGGTGATTAAATACTTAATTCCCAGGAATCTCACTCTTTCTCAATTGTTTCCACAAGCTTGCGTACTTGTTCTTTTATTTAGTTTTTGTCATTGCCCAATCATGTCTTTCGTTAGGATTAGCTTCATAAGAATAAATTAGTAGCTAGTGCTTAATACGCCCCACTTCCCTGTGGATTGATAACCCGATACTCCGGGGATTATTTGTTTGAGAAATATACTGCAATTCAACTCCATTGCTATTTTCCTTTACTTGCTTGAATTTACTTTACATTGCTCTTTACTCCTTGCACCTTGAAACAATGAACTCTCCTAGCTTTCTATTGCAAATGCATGCTTGTGTTTGACAACACGATATTCAAATCCAAGTGTACATCCTTTGAGAACGACATCTGGGAGAATCTTCATTCTCCACCCCTACTTTCCATCCACCGCTAACTCACAACTCATCCAATGGCGTCGTTGTCGGGGATGGCAACAATCTTGGATGTTGTGTTGTTGGCATGAGTTGCACATTTGCATAGGAAGTGTAGTTTTCTTCTTTTACTTGCTTTTTACTTACATTTGCTTATTCCATTATGTTCAATCGTGCTATCTTGTGATTCCATTGTGTTGTGAATTCATCATTCCATTGTGTTGACTTGTGATTCCACATTTGTGTTTAATCATTTCACGTTGTCTTCTTATTTTTTCTCTTCTTGAACTGTTGAAATTGTCATTGCATTTTAGCTTACTTGCAACTACTTCTAGTTGCAAAATCTTGTTATTAATCTTGTGATTTGAGATTGATCTTTGAAATATGATCTCTTAATACTATGACTTCTATGACGAACCTCTCTATATCCACCCTTTCAATTATTCCCACCAAAAACACACCCCACCACCACCAGAACCATACTCTCAAAATGCCCTACTCCTACAATCCCTGTTATCAAAACCACCATTACACTTCACCACCACACCAAGAGAACTCATATGAGTCCCGAGGAGGATATGAGCCACATAGCGGGCACTATAATGCCCAATTTTCCAACCCCTATGGCTATGGAAGATGTAGAAATTTAAAAATGAGAGCTACACCACCACCTCAACAAAAATACACATTCAATGAGCCCCGAAAGAACTACTAAGAAACTTCATATGATCTTGATTTGAGCATTCATTGAATCGAGCCCAACCAATACAAAGAGAAATCTCTCATGATTATTCGGGTGGATACCAAGCACCAAGGTATTACCGAGAGGATCATGAGGAGATATGTCATGATTAAGGAGGCTATCCTAATGTGTACCAGGGAGATAGAAGAAACAGTTTTCACCAAGCATACCATTCTCAAGCCCACCCCTCTAGCCATTTTGAAAAAGTTAACGATCACTTCCCACAAAGAGGCCAAAATAACTCTCAATCCTATACCTCTTACCCATACCAAGCCTACTATCCACAATCTTACACCCAACACACCCATACCAAGCCTACTAGATAGGATGTGGGCATAGGTCAGGCCAAGTCCAGTCCTAGGAAGTTAGTGGGCATGAAGGCTAAGGACCGAGTCAGGCATGCTGCGCAACTGGGCTTGGTGTTCAAAGGTTGTGGCAGGTGCTGGGAGGGGGATTGTTGGGTGTCGGTCGAGTTAGCCAAGTTCAGCCCCTTCTCGATTTGAGACATGACACTGTGACTTACCATGGAGGGATGTGGTTAAATTGTTAATGTCCACCTACTTATCACCAATTCGTTTTAAATAGGATATGGCAACCAGATAACCAAAAAACTCTTTGGTTAAGCGTGCTTGACTTACATCAGTGATAGGTAACTCCTTGGGAAGTCATCATAGTGCAGCACTGAGATCCAACATTTTTCACAGAGGTGATGATTGGGATATAGGAGATGAGCTTCCATTGCTCGTAGTTCCTTTTGAGGGAGTAGGAGAAGAACTCCCACTACCGATTGATTTATTTGAAGGGGTAGATCTCTTGCCACCAAGAGCCTCTGTGGTAGAAGATGAACCCTTATCATATGTAGTTTTCCTTGGAAGATATTGCGAACGATGCTCTGGGTTTCTTCGAATTTCACCCCTAAGTTCCTCGCTCGACTCTGAGTCATTGGACCTTGCATCTCGCGACTGTCATCGAAACTGGACACAGACGATGCTTTGGACATGGGAATTC